TATATATTGCAATTGTAAAATTTTACCTGTAGGTAAAAATGGCGTACATATATTGGACGGACGCAAGAAACCAAAAGAGTGATCTAATGGCATGAATTATCCTCCCTTGCCTTTCAGCTTCGGTTGTTATATACCACAGTATAATTACTTCAATAAAAAATGCCACACACAGACCTGCGAGAGAAATTCCACTAGCAATGGATAAAAACTACAATGTTAAGGGGAGCTTTGAGAAATGTAGACGGAAATTTTGAGGCCGTGACATAAAGTCTTTACCTAAGTAGAGTCGGTGTCTCACGTTGTACGCTTGCTTTATGCTGGTCAGCATGTAGATGATAAAAATTGCGATAGAGTATATAAAAAAAGTGGTGATCACACGAGACTCAAATAGCATGGCACTGTGTAGGGAAAATAGCTTGTCTACGGCAAGAAACATGCTTGCTTGCTTGGATTCAAATGCTTCCTGTAATTAGATGATGCATGTGTATAAAATTTTGCTCAAGCTCATACAATTTGCTTTACAAAACAAAACTGAAGTTTTTTGAAGAAAAATATTTCGAACCTGTGCTGCTATTATTAGTTTTGAGTTCTCCACTAACTGATCGTGAGACTGATGGAGTTGTTTTTGCTTTTGCAGTAGTTCCTCTTGCTGTTTATGACCAAATTCAGCTAACCTCTGCAGAGTTTCCCTGTAAGTTCGACATTGTCACATTGATATGATATCCAATTATGTCATTGAAAATAGAATAACTGCAAAAGTAATCCTTGAGGTGTAATAATATATTTCAAAATTGCAAAAGCCCCCTTCAACTGTTAGAACTTAGATTCTTAAAAATTTATATTTATGTATAAGGATCCCTTTCTTTACAGTTTACAGAGTAAATTTTGGGAAAAGGAACAAACATCAAATTTTATTTATTTATTTGTATGCAGGCTAGAGTAAATACCGGGGTACATCTTGTAACTACTAATCCTACAAGAGAATCAAATTTTTACAGAGGTCCTGTTAGTCTCCCACAGCTTCATGAAGAAATATATACAAAGAAAAAAATATACCTAATAAATAAAATAAATGAAAATTACCTGCTCTCTTCAAGGGCCTGGGACTGAAACTTGGTGAGAAAATTGAGGCCCTCAAGAGCAACTGACTGCCCATCCAAAAGCTGCTTTTGTTTGTCCAAGGATGTCCCTGCAATATCCCCAATATCATCTGCCTTGCTCTGCAAAACGCTCATCTTCAAAGACATAGCATCCCCAACTTTCCCAATCTCCTTCTCGATTTCAACCGCCTCATTTCTCATATTTACTATTTCCACCCCCAAACTTCTATATGAATTCTCGAGAAGCACCATGCCTTCTACCAAACTTTCCTTCATTTTCACCTGGCCTTCCCTCAGCTCGACTTGAGACTCCTCGATCCCCTTAGACTGCTCGTGAATTTTCTCGGAATATTTCAAAACCGAGCTAACACGATCCTCGACCATCCTCGATGTCTTTGCAACTTGCTGAGTTTGTAAATCTATCGAGGCCAATGATTCATGCACGTGTTTCGAGTTCTTGAGTAGGACCTCCCCTTGTTCTTCAATCTTCTCCAATTTGACCTCCGCATATTCAGCCGTATTCTTTAGTTCATTTACCAGTCTCTCTGTCTGACGCTTAAATGCATCCGACCTAAAAATCAATTCACAGAACATATGATGCATTATGATTTATAACTTTCTTAATTACAAATTCTCCTCACAATTTTTTGTACCTAACATGTTCCTCTCTTTCGAAAAGAATCTGAGAAAGACAGAGAAAGACTTACTGCAGCTGGTGGCAAATGGAGTTGGTCTCGAGAAAGTACTCGAGAAAGATTTTGTGCTCGTCTGTATCAAGATTTGTCAAACATTTCTTCATGACTGATTTGGGGTCACAGTAAGAAAAACCGGGCCTGCCCGTGTGGCGTTGGAAGCAGTCGCTAAGATGCCAGGCCAGGCGGGCCCGCAATTCTTGGTCTGCAAGGATTTTCGAGCAACTTTCGAACACGTTTTGGTATGCGGCTTGCCAGCACGAATCTGGAGCTTTCATTTTTGTCCTGGCGTTATCGATGAGCTGGACGCCCTTCGGGTCGTGGAGAGCTTCCATGGAGAATTCAGAGATCATCGTGTTTTTCGTGCCCGTGTGAGTTTCTTGTTTGGAGGAAAATAACCAGCTTGCTGATAGTTGTGCTTGGGATAATAGGATTATGGTTGAAAATATGAGAAGATGATGGTAATGGTGAAAGGCCATTTTTGGCAATCCCTTTCCCTTTCTTTTTTTTTTTCACCTGTGATACATTTGGATTAGTTTGTTAATAAACATGCATGCATATCTGGGTGTGTGTTATTGACAAATTAGACAATGCACCAAGAATTCAAGACTAAAGCTTTTGCATGTATGTTAGTATGTAGTAGTTTATATGCATATACTTGTTTATTGATTGTCCTAATTCTTATTGAAAAAACAAAAAAAGGAAACATCCAATCCTCGTATCTCGACTTCATTCTTAAACTCGGGTTTTTTCCATCATTATCTTCTTAAATTTGCTAAGTCTGCCTAGCCGGTCTAAAAGTGAAAAACTATAACGGGTCGATTCTAATTTGATTGACGCACAAAGGGATTTGGGTTTTAATGTGCCCCTAAAAGAAACAAACAGAGTAGCAAAATAAGTATTTGCACAATCTTGATAAAAGGAAACTATATAAAGATTACAAAGATAGTTGCACGTTACAATATGAGTTTCCAAATCAAAATTTGAGGCTTCAGCCTCGTAATCTTAAATTTCTTTAGAAAGCATATTTATTTCCTTATTATTCCTTTCAATTCAAAACTTATTTTCCTAAGTTAGACTTAGCATAAGATTTCCTACTGTAACAATCCCAGGAGACAGCGGAAAACATGCAAATTAATTAGGGGTGACAATAGCTGGCATTTGAAATAAACACTTTAACAAATAAATACATAACAGACATTTTCTGAATTCACGTACTCATGTTTCAGAACACAAAACAAGTTAGTTCAAAGAAAATGAATTATTCGAAATCTCAAATGAAAAATCATGTTAAAGAATTTTAAATAAAACCAAGTAAACATCATAAGACGGCGACTACTTTCTCCAACACCGGCTCCGTCAACCTGAAAATACTTTTAGACAAAAAAAAAAAAATATAAAATAAAATAGGATACATAATCATCAAATAATAAAGTTTTATGTTCTATGATTCTCAACATGTTTTACGTGCAAATTAACACACAGACTGGCATAATATAATTTCAAGCCCGAAGGATGCATTGGTGAACCCTATAATATAATTTCGAGCATGAAGGCTGCATCGGTGAAGCCTAAGGCTACATAAATTTCAAATACGAAGATAACAATGGTGAGCCCAAAGGTTACATTGGCATGGGGATCATATAATAATTTGACAACAAAAATGAAACATTTATCCAAAACATGTAATAAATTTAGTTTGGAAAATAAACTCACCTCGATCAAATAGTACGTGAATGAATGTCTAAGGAATAAATATTTCACACTATCAATCATAAATACAATGTGCAAAATAACAACTTTAGAGAAAATATAAATTCTGAAATTACATAAATAAAATTAATATTAATATTTTCAACTCCAGATGGCTAGAGTTTAAGGTTTGGAATTTGAGTAGAATGGATGAATTTAGACTTTTTTTCTAACGGATTAAGGTTAGAAGCGAGGAATACAAGCCAACTCAACACTACACATTTCAGGCCTAAATCACACATTTCCTGGCCCAATATAACTCTTCACCCAACTTTATTTCTCACTTTCCACCAAATAACTCACAAACTTTTCCCAAAGACCTAACGCTCCTGCTCCTGCAACACTCAAACACCACTAAACCATCCCTAAATTATTTTAATTTCCCATTGGCCTGGAAAAAAAAAAAAAAAAAA